GATCCTGATCACGTGAATCAGGTGTGTTGGAAGAGGGAAACATCTAAAACATGCTGGATAGGGGCTCTCGAGGACCAGGATTGGACACCTTGGCTTAACATATTCCACCCATTTAACATTATTCACTGCACCTGTTAGTGGTTTTACTGTTGTGGCTGATTCGTGTGTATATATAAATCTTTACATGTATAATATAAAGTTGGTTTAGTCCTCACCTCTCCAGCATCATAGTCCTCCTCTGATTCTTCTTGCGGCAAGCATTGCACGGGCCAAAGTGAACTGCATGAAGCGGGCGCCAGTCAGGCACAATATTTGGAAAGGTGGGGAGAGTTTTTGTTACCCTGAAAAAGCAAAGCATGAAATACATTTAGGACTCAGGTTATTGCAGAAAAGAAACAGAGTATGCAGAGGGAAACATATTAGCTGCACTGCCTGGTCTGTAATGGTCACCACTTAAACATGTATTCTCTTTTAATCATTTTCCTTGTTCTAACAATCACCTGTTCTTGATAAGAAAAATATGCTTTTTAGGCAATCAAAGACAAACCGCCTTTCTCAGCCATCCTTTAAATTCATTTTGATAATCAGTTAATTGTGTATTCACAAATTCTCTAGTGTTTGAATGCATTGCTTCACTGTTTTATATCATTGTAAACTCAATACCCTGTTGTAGGTTTTGGACTGTTGGTCAGACAAAACAGCCAGTGTGAGCATGTTAGTAAAAGTACCAGGAAAATACTACAGCATTTATTGCTATTATCTGGCATTTTACAGATTCAACAAACAATATATTCTTCAAATTATTTAATTTGACAAATTAATACAAATATGGGTTTGGAAGTTTGCATTAGATTTTACCAATATATCGAAGTTCACAGCAACACTACATGAAGCTTTATGCTTATAATCTATATACAGAAGTCAATGAGTCAAGAAAAGTAAAGCCACTTATTGAAACCAAATTATATCAACTATTTTCAGCAGTTAGTGAATTCATATCTTTACTTTGCCCTCTCCAGACAAACCTGGGGCCGAGTGGTGCATAATTTGATGTTTTTTTGTTTTTTTTTCCAGCATGATTACTTTCAATACACTTAAGTGCCTTCAGTCTCATTGTTGTTAAGCTTCTGGTTGAATGCGTGAAATGTTTTAAAACAAGTTACTAATTACAACCTAAAAAATGGTTTCTGGATTCTAGCACAACTTACGTAATTGTAAATTTAAAACCATTTACCTTTCTTTCGTAGCAGCTTTGCATTCAGTGCACTTGAACTCCCACTGAAAGGTTGACTGGAAAAGACGCTCCACCCAAGAATCCATGGTGAGCAGAAGCGGCATGGCAAACACTGGAGTTTCCCTCCGACCTGAAAAGTACAGACATGCAGAAGTTAAAGCATCATTATATGATCGAGTGCTGGCAGCAGCTGCTGTCACAATAATCCATATTCCCAGGTAGTTTTAAAGAATCTAATCTGTGGATGAGTTGTGAGGTAAAGTTCTTATAGCATATGGTTCACCATTAGACTCTCACACATTGTCTAACTTGTTAAGATGCATGTATTAGTGCCATGTTTCTGTGCCTTATCTTCATCTAGCAAATAGTTTGGTACAAAGAGAGAAGCCATCTTAAACAGGGAGTGGCTCTGACTCCACCACCACAGTCCACATATCACATCCCACCTCCCTTTGTGGCTGCCCTTGAGTAGGAGTCTGAGAAACAAGCCCAATTTTCAAGTTTGTCCCTATCGACGCTGGTCATTCACAGGAGTTTGCACTGATTTTGTTGTGTGTTTTTCAATTTTATCACAATAGTTTAGACTTGAGCTTTTAACGGCTGTAGAAGCACCACCGAGCTGCATTCTTTCCCTTTAGACACTTTTTCTACCCTCCTAACTAAAGCCATCACTCAACAACTGCCCTCATCCCTTTGTGCATTGCCTCAGCTCCGTAAGCCCCGGTTTTTAACAGTACTGTGGCTGGAGCCAACAAATTGATACCACTCAGGACCACCATGGTCCTCCATTACACTAATGTCCACTTCAGGGGGTTTCTAGAGGGACAAAGTTCACCTAAAAAAAAAAAACCCTCTTTAAAAGAGGTGTGCAAATCCTGTGATGCTCTCCCCTTTTCCCTGGTGTGGGGATGTCACTGAACAACTCCTGTCCCTCCTCTCTCCACCTCTTGGCTGCTTTTCAGCATTTATCAAAATTATACAGTAGGTGGAGTTGAGCACAGAGATGGGGGTGAAGTTACACTTTACTTTCCCCTTCGCTATTATCGCCCCCGCTTTGTGTTTACAGTAGGTTTTCCAAGTTTTATATAACGTAATGATCTGGCGGCAACAAGAAGAACACAATCCAAGGTTTGCGTGTCCGGACCTGTCACTTGCTGATATTATGAGGTGATAATGGCTGCTTTGAAGGATCAAGACTCACTCTTGCCATGGATAGTAAATACAGATTCATGACTCAGTACATTTTTGAGGTATGCTGCTGAGATGGCAAGAAGATAACGGACGGTACACATTGTAGCAGAAAAAACAAAAGTTAAGGTAATGAAGTTCTTCAGTCGTTTGAAGATCTTACACAGAGCCTTCCACACTGTGCATAAGCTGCATGATTACATTTTACAGAAGGAACAAAACCAGACAGATGACTCCTTTATGTACTCCTTTTTGTGAATGTAATCTTTTGCCAAAAGCGTAGCACTAGTTTATACAAAAATTAATATTCAAGAACAGAAGGCTCCAGGGGCCCTGGGAGCATTGTGTTGTCGAGTTTGAAAAGCATTTGCTTAGACATCTCTCCCTTGCTCACAGAAGCTTGGCACAGTTTGCATATTGCTCCTGATTCAACACTGGTTTCCTATCAGTGATGGTAGATTCAGAAATACAGTAAATAAATAGAGAAACATTTCACTTTTCCATCAGTGTCTTTTCATCTGTATATTAGAATTCACCCATGTGTCAATATTAACCTCATTAGACAGGTGTTAAACTACAATATTCGCCTTTATGTTGTTTAACCGGTACATTGCAATGTAAAGAGAACAACTGTGAAAGTATGGCTCTGCTACTTCACACACGTCCTGACAAAGCTGACAGAGAGAGAGAGGAGCAACAAAACAGCAGCCAAGTAGTGCTCAATAACTCAATCTCTTGCCTTTTGTGTCACATAGAATAAAAACGTGTTTGGAATAGGACAAACGGCCACTCTGAACAAACCTCACTTGTGACAAATATCCATTCAGAATCTATTTCTCTATGACTTAGAAATCATTTTTGAGCTGAGAATCGACTTTGAGGCAAAAAAAGAAGAAGAAGAAGCTGAGGACTTGACTTTGTGACACAGAAATGAATGTAGTTGATATCGGACGAGAGGCAAGATACCATGGACGGGTTGTCTGTCAATCACAGTGCTGAAGCAGAGCGCGACTGCTTCATGACTTGTGCCTCTTTTCCATCAGGATACTGCTGGTGCAGAGCCAGTTCTGCCTTGGTGGCTTTTGAGAACCGGGCTGCATTTCGGCATTTCGACAGGTTTAAGAACTCAATACTATGGATTATTACACAGCAGAAGCTCGGCTAATTTCTATGAGCTGGAAGTTGCAAAATGATTAGGAAATTAGTGTTCATGTAGAGTAAATAACGAACCTCTCAGTTACTGCACATTACTGGTCTTAACCTAAGTAAATGTTTTGATACTGTACAAAAACGTACATTGTGTTTAATAATTACAGTCCCTTCCCCTGCATCTCTTGAGAGTATTTGTTTTGCTGTGGAATACGATACTTCACTCAAGTTTGATCAATATATTCTTGCAGAGCCCCACCCATTGCAATTGATATCAGTGGACCAGCAATTTTGGGGAGCCATTTTTTTCCAGTGGCAATGCATGATGGTAGTGGTTCGAGATTAGTCACTGGTCAAAAGGGGGTACTATTGCATACTTTCAGCTGCAGGTGAATTTAAAACTAGATTTAAATGAGAGTGATTCACCTTTGATAATACAATTAGTCAATCAACACAAATGAGTCGCTTGATAGGTTCTCACCTTCATATCCAATATATTCCTCCTGGCAGGAACATATTTATTCTGACACACAAATCATATGTTTATGTGCTAATTCATGCCTTTATTTATTGGCAGAAATCCTTTTGATTTAGTTAACATGAAAAATGACTATCAAATAAATTTGAATTAGTCTTTTCATTCTACTGTATTAATTATTAGACCTGAAAAGACGTTTGGAATGAATGAATCATTGTCACTGTGTGTAAAAGTTCATATAAGTGTAAATACAGGAAGGACACTGCACCTCACAATTTTCAGAGTGGAAAAAAATAACTATTAAAACTGAAGCGACACCTTTTAGTTAAGTTGAATATTGGACAATGCATCTGTGTGTGCACTCTATGTGTTGTTTTTTGCTTTTCAAAGCTTTAGGCCTTGATGATGTTAAAAACAAAGGACCAAAGTCAGAGTATAAATAATACTTCTTCAGATATTTACCATAGAAGTATCTGACCTGGTATTGGATAGTGTGTAAATATGCTCATTAATTACAAAGTTAAACATAGCGAGTCTACTAAAATACAACAAAAAAAAGCTTTAATTAAGTGCACTTATTGTTGGGTTGTACTAAAGAGAGCAACTAATCAAGCTTGACTTACAGTTATGTGTATTTTCAATGTGGGCAGATGTGATTCATGATGCACTCGGCTTTTAGGCTACTTAATAGGCAGACTTTGTCTGAACTTCTTCATTCAGGGTCAGAACTGAATCCTGTTCCAATGTGACTTGAACAGACGTGTGAAGATTAGACCAGGTGCAGCAGTACACAGAAACACTACACTCACAAACAGTAAAGTAACGTCAGCACAGCTGCACTATCATTTGAATGAAAGTTCTCATTGAACTACTCCTACAGATGCAATAATAACATACTATGATTTTTTGAAAAAATACCTGGTCTGCTTTTGACTACTGTGCAGCTGTAATTTTCAATGTGGGGAACTTACTTTTTGGCATGCAAATCATTTCTCAAAGACTTAAGACTTAACTTGGAGTAGCTCTCTTAAGACTTAAGAAGTGGCTCAGCTTTAGTCAGAACACTAAAAACATGCAGGGTCATCGCAGGTTCATAACAGACTGATGAATATAAAACTGAGCTTACCCAGTTTGCATTGCAGTTTGGGTTGCAGTACTTTGAAGACCCACATCCTGAGAGTCTGCAGATCTGCATTGGCCTTTTGCAGCACATGATTTGGCACCCTCACAACGCCATCTGGACAGAAAGTAAAGCAAGTCAAACAAATACCACAAAAACAATGTTTCTCAATTAATCCTTCTCAAAATGTTTCAGTTTTATGCACCCAGGTTTGGATGTAACATCTGTCACCATCCCAATACAACAGAGACTAGAGCGGTGTACTCCGGCGCAAGGTTAATGGGATACCAAAGCATGTTGAGCTTAAAGTCAGAGTTTTCAGTGTCACGAAGGCGTTTAACCTGCTAGATCTCCATGGTAACCGATGATAACTGGTACAGCAAAGCTAACCTGTTCCAGCAGAGGTTGTGTTCAGAGTTTGTGGTTTAAATTGGCTGTAAGAAACATCTCCCTTTCACCAATTATGTACCTGACTATTTTCTCTGTAAGCTGTATGGATCTGAAGCTGCGGAGTCACAGTATCACACACTGTATGCATCCCATTGCAATGGGAACTTACATGCAATCACATGGTGGTGCAGAAAATGCATAAATATGTTTTTGTGCTTGGTCCCAACTTGCTGCCAAGTCCATTTAACATTGGTGGTAATGCAGCTTATAGAACACAGATGAGAAAATGGATTGGTCTATTAGTATGTACCACTAAGAATATTCAAACAACACCATTTATTTCACATTGATTTGGCCAAAAACTAAAGTGATTTCCATGTGTGCTTCATTATATGTTAGACCTAAATGCACTTCTTGAGAATTATGTTAAATTTTATGAAGTTTAAAGTTTAAAAGCTCTAACGTGCAGCTGCACATTAGAAATAAGCAACTGCATTAAGAATGCACAGAGAGCTACAATAAATGTAACTCACACGATTATTGATTTTATACCAGCATTCCCCTTACGCCTTATTTGCAATAACAGCCCTTTTCAGAGTAATACATTTTACTTCATAGCTTGAACAACCTCTAAACTGAAGTAGGGTGCACACCATCGGACCATTTTGTGCAAAGGAACAGTCAAATGATGTGTTGAACACCCTCATTATGGGATTGCACACAGAGCTGGATGAAGAAAATCTGGGTTAACAAAGAAAGCTAATTACCCCTGTGATGATATCCATTATTTCTAATTGGAGTTTGGGGTTTTGTTGAGCTGGCTAACACAAAAAAGCCTGGCTATGTCAAATTTGCATTGTGGTACACCCCTCAGACATGTTGCCATTATGTTTTTCAAGTGAAATCATTGTTTTTAACAGCACAAACAACATTCCATTAACCTCCATTATGCATTGAGGTCACAGAAAACATCTCTGGGATGGAGAGCTTCAAACCTGGGAGCAAAAACAATCTGCACAGCTCGAGAGGCATAAAATATGGGTACATAGATAAATATAGTTGACTCAGCCTATTGACATTAGTTGTTTTAGATTTGTGTTGTCAAAAACATGAAAAGCAGAAGCAAGGATGATCTAACTTGTTACAGATTGTAGATATTACAAAATAAATTTACTTGAGACATTTCTAAAAACCTGACATTTAATTACATTCATATCTTTTTAACCTACCTTTGCCAGTTTGCTGGTGGACTTGGACGGCAGCACAAATGTCTTCATATTCTCTCATCAGCCGCCACACAGATGACCGCTGAGGCTCCTCTTTAGGTTGACATTTTTTTAAGCTCTGACAACTCACCAGAGCAGCAAGCAGAGAGTCCAGCCAGCACAGGTTATCACGGTTTCTCCAGAAAAGTTGGTTTGGAACCGATACAAGCTCCTCCAACTCTGTCATTGCAGTACAGGACAAATCCTCACTTTCTGACTTGACGTCTCCCCCGTCTTTACATTTAGCAGTGTCTGCAGTAGGTGATTTCTGCTCTGTCCACGTTGTCTCCTCATTGTGCTGAGTTGATGGAACACTGAGATCAGTACAACAAATGTCTTCATTTGAAAGAAAGGATTGATTGGAGCTCAGACTGTTGCATCTGTTCAGCACCTCAGGAGAACTCCTCCCCTGCCTGAAATCGTTCTCTGATATACCCAGAGCACCACAGTGAGGAGAGAGTACAGGGTCATTCCCATCAGCAGTCAACAAAACGTTTGATGGGTGTCCAACTGAGGTTGAGCATGTAGGAGGAGCAAGACCATCTGCATAAGCAGCATCGGCTGGATCCTTCTTCAGAGCAATATTCTTATCTTGTAGTGATTCACATCCTGTTGTCTCTGCAACTGGGCAGAGACTGTGGTATCCATTCACCTTTTGACCATCTGTCTCAGGTGCTGCATGGTGCCCATTTGTAACAGTGTTTACAGTGCCACGCTCTGCCGGGCTAATAGGTGAGTCAGTAATGCTTTGTGGCCCAAGATCGTCAAGCTTGCTTGATCGCAGACGTTTGACTGACGGTTTAATCAACTCTTCATTTTCCAACGTTGAAGCGTTTTTTCTTTTGTTCCCAGCAGTGGGCTCCACAGGATCCAAGCTAGCCAAAACATCCTCCAAAGATCGGGTGACCAGGGGGAAGAGGCACTATGTGGGAATAAATACAAAAAGCTTAACATGCCGAATAGCACAAAACATAAAACATGACCGTGTGTTTAACAGCATTACTCGGACTTACCTGTGGGTTTGTGCAGAGGGTGATGGACTCCTGGAGGTTGATGCGGTAAGAGCGCAGAGCATAGGTCAAGCCCTTTGAAGTACACCAAGGACAGCACTCCAATGAAGCAGCTCTTCCCTGCACCTAAACAATATGACACCAAAAAAACATGGATTTAGTCAAGTTGACAAACCTCCAAAAATAGATGAGTCATATCACTACTTCACATTTAAACATATAAGACAGTTCATTTTTTAAATAAAGTTTAGCTTGTATACATTTCCATCAGATGGATGACTTTTACTAACTTTATCCACCAACTCTTTCATCTCCCCTTTTCATACTGTTCCAATCACATTAAATACTTGTCTGTACACATGCACCAAAAAATAGAAAGGTTTAAATTGATTTACCTTGCAGATGTGAGTCATATAAGTAAGAGTAAGAACTGTTGTAAGTAATTCTCAGGATTCTGTTTGAATGCTTGTTTGTTTCTTTGAACGGTGGCCTCCAATCAGTGAGCAGTAGTTTCAATGAGGTAAGATTGATTGATGTCAAATACATTAAGCTTAAAACCAGATTAAAAACTTGTAAGAACATTAATTATAACACACAGTTTCTTGTATAGCAGTATGTATTGAAAGGTTTTAACCTCCCAGATCTTTCAAGCATAACAAAAAAATCTTTCGCCTTTTACAACTTCAGATTTCCATTTGTGTTTCTTTTCTGTAATTTGGATTGGTACTGCCCAGTCACAGTATTTTTCAAATGTAATTCAGCTTTGCGCAAGTGACAACAATGCGAGGAAAGCAAGAGCTCTACTGACTTTTCCCAAATACCCCGCCAGTGGTGAGGCCAAAGCCCCCAAACCAGTGTCTTCACCAGTCATTGGCAAACAGCTGCTGCTCTTTGGGTCCACGGCTGTCCGGTGCCATTCAGAAAATACTACCATGTCACTGCAACCTGGCTCACCTCCAAAGGAGCTGAGGAATAAAAATACAGCACCACAACAGGTATGTTACAGTTCTGAAGATACATGGAAACACATTTTGTTTGAGGGTTAGACCATAAGGCCATCAGAAAAAAGCTGATGGTTTGTTTATGTCTGCTAAAGTGATACAATTTCAATAAATATCTTTAACTTTAGAAATGTTCAAAACCCTTTTTATATCTTATAAGATCTTTGATGCAAGTGCCTCAATTAGTCAGGTATTGAATTAACTGCAACAGCAAATGTGCCTTCTGTTTAGTTACGGAGAGTCTCATTTTAATTTCTGCAGAATTCCCTCTCTCATGACTACGGCTATAACTAATGACGGATTTACATTTTGACTCAATTTGTCAATTAGTTTTCATTAATCAATTAATTGTTTGGTCTATAAAATATTGAAAAATGGGGGAAAATGTCAATAATTGTTTTGCAAAGCCCAACATGACATCCTCAAATGTCTTATTTTGTCCACAGCCAAAATATATTCAATTTACTGTTATAAAGAAGCAAAGAAACGAGAGAATATACAAATTTAGAACGCAGGAATCAGAGAGAGTGGACTTTTCTTTTCTCAATAAACTAGTTGACAAATAATTTAAGATAAGGATAAGATAAGCCTTTACTATCACTGCAGTGGGGAAATCAGCAGTGTTAAAGCAGCAAAAGATTTAGGAAACATAGCAGAAAAAATTTAAAAATAAACCAAAATATACTTAAATACTCGTTATACTGTACGAGAATATAGAAATAGCAGTATTGCACATGTCATTGGTATTGCACAGGTTTTTTCATATACAGAAAATAGTTGACAGATTATCAGCTGAGTGCAGTGTAGTTTACGAATATACAGTTTAGCAAATATTTATTTGACCACTTTTACCAGTATTTTCTGCCTCTTCCTTGCAGTTTTTTTCCATGCATGTCTTCTGATCATCTTGCCATTCTCTTCTTTTAGGCACTGCTGAGTGATACTTTAATTTTGATTATCGTTGACCTTACATAAACATTTAAGCACAATAGTGTTGACTCAAAAATGTTTGGGGCCTTAGTGCTGACTTTGCCATCTTTAAAGTTACAATATAATACATATATATTTATATTTATATTTTTGGGGCCTTAGTGCTGACTTTGCCATCTTTAAAGTTACAATATAATACATATATATTTAATATATATATAAACATAATTTATGGATTGAATTATAAGACGTCATGTGTTTTAGAAGCTGTAATTATTTGAGCACTGATTAAATTCAAACAAATCAAACACTATCAATCTTCAAGGCTTATTGTGTGGACTTCATAAGAAAACAGCTAGTCTAAGAATTATTTGCAAAGACTTAATTCACATGACCCTCCCCTACACAATATTTGAATTTTTAACCAACGTTTATTTAATCTAAGCATTGAATAATTTTCTATAACATAGTGTATTATTTCAGAATGCTAGTTTTTCTTGGTGTCAGTAATACTGCAGGAAATTAACCAAACTCCTTTAGAGCACATTACCTTAAAAACAACATTGGTTTGAAGGCTCACACGTGGGAGCTTCGTGACAGTTAAACTGTCCCATTAAAGTCCATGCGCTTAGTTACGACAAAAGCACACAGTGGGGTTTGTGATGGATAATAAAAACGAATTGTGCTTGAATTAGCTTTCAATTGTTTAAAGTTAAGGCAAAATGCAAAACCCGCAGATGCTGATTGAATCAACATCACTCAATGTAAACACACCATAGAATTCAAATTCTCAACTGTACCTCACATCAGGAGGTGATTGAATCACGAAAACGGTTATTTCACATTAGCTAGCTAATGCATTAATGACTTGTTCTGGAATAAGTGAAATGTTTAAAAGTCTTTCTGAAACAATTCAGATAAAGTCCGAGCTAACATGCGCCGGCTGAACCATCAGCCGCTACACCTGGTGCTAGCATGCTACAGTATTAGCCTGAGCCCGGGAAATAACTTAAGACGCTCCCGCATCTTAGTTCAAATAAATGAATACGTACCGAAGCCAAAGTTAAATTAAATTCGTTACAACGCTGCCGAAGAGTGAAATCCATCCAGACAGAGTCGTATTTGTGAAGCCCCGGGCGCCTGTGGAGTGAGTCCATGTGCATCCTTTTGTGAGTTCGTGTCAGAAACGTTCTTTTTCCGGGCGCCGGTTGTGCAGCAGGCTTTGTGTTCCCCCCCTCCCTCTCCATGACAGATGGTTCCGCAGGCCCCCGCTTGGTAGTTCCAGTGAACTGCAGCTGCCTGAGCTCAAGTTATTGTTCATGTTGGTGCTGCAGATTAGCACGGCACAGCCCATCAAACCAGCGCTAACCGGTGTGAGTACATGAACACTGACGCGTCTAAATAGAGTCGGCGCATGTAGTCACGGTACCATTTAAAAAATAAAAAATAAAAAAATATCTATGTATCACTCATTAGTTATAGTCTGTGTAATTAGTGACCCTTTTTACATTCTATGACATTATTTTTGGTTTGCAAATAAACAATCTGGCATGTCACGTTTCTGAAAGTGGAATGAACAGTTTCAAAGGAGGCTTTAAAAATAATGTAATATCAATATAAATGCCATTCCAATCGTTATCATTAATACAGCAGTGGTAGTAAAGGTGGCTGTACTTTAATCAGATTAATATTTACCTCATGTTAATAATAGCATTGTAAAAGTTAAAAGGCTCTGCTGTGGCTATCTTAAAAACTAAAGTGAAACAAGAGACATTTTGTGTATATTAAAAAAAACTATAACAAGAAACAATCATGAAAACATGTTTACTGGAGATCAGAATAATACAGTGATTGATTTCAAAACTGAGATTGCCTCTAGCTATAAATTCCCCCTATATCCACTCTGTGCTTGACTTGTCTGGCTTTGTAACTAAGGATGACTGTTTATTATGGGTTTATTTTTGTAGGCCTGCTGTCTGAGGATTTTTTTTGAGTAGTAGAGGGGGCGGCTGGCTGGGTGGGGGTAGTATGGGGTTTACATATGTCCCTCACTTTGGTTCTAATACTCCAGCCCTCACACCTCCTGCTCTTGTACACTCCAACCCACACACATTCACTTACGTGCACACATACACACATCTCCCCCCACCCAATCCCGCCTCTTGCATGTGCCCTCCTCCCTTAAGCCCCTCCTGTATCTGCTGCTCTCCTGTCCTCTATTTTCCTCTTGATGACAAAATGAATTTGCATATTTTTCCCAGGGAGCGCTCATTAGAATGCATAAACCGGCCGCCTCCTAGCCTCACGAGCAGGCTATAGCTTTCTGCCATGGCATCTCCTGATGCAAAATGAGACACAGACAGGCAGCATCACAGGCAGACATGTGGCCTGAGTCTGGGTTGTGATTGGCATTTGGAAACAGTTCACCCTTCCCATTCTTAATTCAAGGATAAGAATAAACTCTGTGTCAGCCATTTTTCTTTGTTTCTATATAAGCTGCTAAGAAGGAAGATGTTTAATAGATTTCCATATAAAAAAGCATCTAGGAATTTGTAATATTTTTAAGCACACATAATTATAAGATTATCTACAGTGGTCATATGACTATGTTTTGCAAATACTAATAGACCGTGGACATTTTTTTTTTATTGTACCACCCCACCCCCCACTGTCCACATTTAAACACACAGACATGCCTTTAAAGTCAAATCACATTATCTTCCCTGAAGTTTGTGCAAAATAAGCAAGTCATCTATGGGAAGGCCCTTTTCACAATCTGCAATCATAGTACGGACATTTTTAGCAGGCTACGTTCTGCAATTGATGCTAATTACTCCTCTGTTTATATCTGAAAATTCTGCCTGATGGTGGCGCTAGAGTTCAGGTTACAAGGTCACAAAAATGTGCATTTAAGGTCCAGGAAATGAGAATTTTAACTGTAGACATTTGTGCACACTTCTTCCAAAAACAATAATAAAGACTTTTTAACCTCTGGGTATACTTGGTTCTACTAGTATAGAACACAGTGGCCTGCAGGTTCTGTGTCAGTATGAGCTACAAGTCAGGAGATACCACAAAGACACAGTCTATGAGGGACACACTCAGTAAACAAATTCCAATCTTTGCCTGATGGTGGCGCTAGAGCAAGATTACAAGGTCATCAGATTTATTAGATTCAATTTTAATAGTACAAATGTGCTCAGTGAATTTCATTCCTTTGTAACCTAACTTTCCAAGATCTGTTGATCAGATTAACAAATACAAGTACACTACATGACCTCCTGACCCCTCATGACTGAGCTGATGAGCCAAATTATTCAACTGTATAACGTCAGAACAACAAAATGTGATTGTGGAATTTCTAACAGTTGCATTTTAATGGGAAAATGGTAAATATATATATATATATGTTAAAACTTGTGTGATGAGCTTTATTCTACATTCTGCATGGTAATCTGTATGAAATTACAATGTAGGGGGATACTGTCAGGAAAGTATTAATTAAGCTGGGCATAAACAATTTACTAATTTAAAAACTGCCCTAAAAGTCTCTGAGCCTACATCTGTTCATGTAATATGGATAGACACTGTGGGGTGCATTGAAATGAATGGACTCCTGACTGTCATTGTTTTCCTATTGATGTATATTGTAATGTAAGGCTTTAACCATTTCATTGCACAGGAGAATATGCCTGGGTTAGGGAGAAAGGAGACTACAGCTACTATATGACACTATCATACAGATCAGTTATATCTGGGGCCTGCAATTATAGCAGCAAGGTTTGAATAGAAACAAGGCCACAAGCAAGACTTCACTATACCTCACTGCAAAAAAAAAACATTTCCTATATGCCAAAACTACTGTCAGATTTGTTCCATCTATCGATAGACTGCTTTATTTAAGAAGTTTGTTTTAAACTCAACAGTCGCTGTTTGATCTCCTTAAGCCTGTCTTAATTAGGGATGAGCACACTATCATCTTTCAATCTGTTACTGTATATGAAGCCTTTTAAGTATCAGGCAAAAAACATACTGTGCAGGGGTAAAAATGAACAATCAGTCTGGAGGCTGTTTACCCATTGATTGTAGTTGTCATGATTTGAAATCTGCTGCAAAATGTTTATCTTGATTTGAATGCAGTGCCATAGGTAAACATAGCCAAAAGCATTGAATGAGTGCCTACTAGACATAATTAGTATGTATACTTGTCAAAGAGAACAAGAAAACAGCGTCTGGAGCAGTCAGTGGGTTGATTTTCTCTCATTAATGGGCTAACAATTGAAATCGGCATCACACTGTTACACCACACAGTAATCAAAGGGCAGACCATTAAACTGAATTGCTATTGTGTTTCCCCTCCACCTAGGAGCCAAATCCTGCGAAAAATTGATATCCAGTGCGTATCCATCACGCACGAGATGAGCAATCGCGTCTTGTGTCTCTTACATGCGAGTACGCGATGTTCTCTATGTGCATTTTCAAAGGCATAATTTTGCAAATAAGCTCACGTGCATTGAGGGGAATGTACAATGGAGGCGGTGGATGAGGAGACGGAGAGTCCGTCCGACACAACCGCACGACGTCTCACGGCCGCCCCGTTCGCTGTCTGCAAGCGCTCCACGTTGTCTCATTCATTTAACTTGCCTACTGTACACTGTGCTCAACGTAGTGAATTCAATACTATGGCAAACACACTACACTACTACCAGCTCCAGCATGCTCGGACAGAAATATTTTTGTATCCACGCGCCTCGCAAAACTTCAGTGACGTTTCACAAAAGCCAGCCAATGGGACCTCGTCTTCTATTAGGACAATGAAAAGCCTCCGACCAATCAGAAGAGCGCCAGACCGGGCGCTGGCCAATAGCGTGCGAGCCCCGCCGAGAGTAATGTTAGAGAGCTGAAGACTGAAGACACTGCGTATCGCCTGTGCTCCCTCATACACAGCCATTGCAGAGCATTGAGATCCAGCGATAGTCACTAGGTAAGTATCGCACACACGAACATTTTAAGTGTCCGTTATGACGAGAACGACGATAACATTCATAAATATCTTAGTTACGTGTTCGCCATTGTCCAATGTTGAACCTTTTTCTGCTTGCGAAACATTTTGTCGCCGTTGAGCGTTAAAAACAACAAAAAATAGCCGGCGCTAAGCAGGTAACGTTACATTACGCTGCCTGGGAGTGTGGACCAGACGCACTGTAAAAAGGAAGAAATGAATATTAACCTTGACGAAATTCGACGAAAAACGTCGATTTCGCTAAATGCGAATAATTTTGAATATTACTGTCCTGTCGTTTTTACAAAATGGAGTCGAACCAAACGCTAGTTATCGCGCAAAAATTCAGGAATGTCTAGCGGACAACACGGTTAGCGACAATGGTAGAAGACTCACCGTTAGCTAGCCATTGGCATTGCAGTGCATTGCGAAGCTGAATGCCTGTCATGTGAAGGCTGGGGGAGCGTGCGGGTCCGGATACTAACATTAAAATTATTAAAAACACGAGAAAAAGAAAGACCGTGTGAAAATATGCCCGGACATATGTTTGTTTGCCACAGTTGAGTCGACGAGACGGCGAAAAAATTACCTCACGATCTGCGCTTTACTGTAATGGCTGACTGTATTCGCATAGGAAACAAGGCAGCGAGGCAAATGGGAAGCCAGTGACAGAGGCGCAGTTCACTTCAACTTTTTCTAACGGTGTTTTCTCGCGAAACAAACTTGCAACTATGCGATGTAACGACGGCAAAAGAAAGTTCAATCTTTCGTGATTCGAACGACGCCATCGGGGTATTTTTCCGACGCTCGGAAGACGTTTAAATCGGGGCTTGAAATGAAGTGGTCGCCGCGGTCGCTCTGCCCTCTATTGCATGCAGTGCAATGGCTGTGCGTTGACACAAAGAGAAGGAGCCATATTCTCCATGTTAGTGGATGAAGACGAGCGGCCATTAGGAGCTCATAGAAACCAAGTCAGTAGCACAGCCCGCTCATAGACACAGTACAGACCCAATGTATTACTATACAAGGCGGCTAGTGCAATAGGAATCAATCGGGGAAATATTTTGTCAAGATCGCCGGCTTTCTAGACATATTTGTCGTGTTGCAAAGCGAACTGGGAGGCGGGAGGAGACATTTGAGGGGGACTTTCTTTCATGAAGAAGGCATTCTCACAAAATGGA